GCTTAGGATTTCTCTCCTTTTTTATGATATTAAAATAAACAAGTTATCTCAATATGATTTTTTTAAACAAAACAGTGAATAAAACTATCCATGGCCAGTCTCAGTTTCCATACGCTCACATTCACTTTACTCGTGTGGGATTCTTTTCATGTGGTTAATAAAAAAAAAACAATTGCCCTAAACACCTCGCCATGATGTAAAARCCATAATTCTGCTTTCTGCTGACCACATGTTGAGGCCAACAGAAGGTTAGTCTGAACATGAACAATCCTGACAATCAGACGTCCTCTGATTGGTTGCTCGGAGAAACGGGCTGACTTCTGCTCCGACCTGATCAGTGGAGGTCAAAGCTGAAGGAGGAGAAGCAAGACRGCTTTCTAATTACATCTCCCTCAACCAGACGTGACCACCCAACCTTAATGTGGTCGCAGGTGACAGAGGTGGAATGAGGCAGAGATGAGAATATTCAGAGAACCTTCACATCAAAGGATCAAACAGAAACTCTGTCAGATTGTTGTTTGTTTTTCAACTCTAAATCCTTCAAACCACATCAGATCCGTTTCATTCAGCRTGCAAACCTCTTTAAATTGTTATGTGAGCCTTCTTTTTTATTTTTCTTTGTCATCAACTAAAGCGGCAGAARACAGTTGGCTGAATTGGGCAACACATTCTGCAGCTCTTGATCTTTATCTGTGCAAACATTCTGCCTGAGCGTGTTCGTCTCCGTCGGTCCTGCAGGTTCTGCTGCTCAGACAAGGAGAGGGCGGGGAAAAAAAAACATTCCTATTTACGCCAATCCTGAAACAAACCATGTGTAGCTGCAAATAAATACTTTTGGCATGCCGGTGAAATAACCCACTCCCTTCTTTTGAAGGAATTTCTTAAGAACTCCCAACATGTTGGGACACGTGTTCAGAGGTGGTGGGTCAAACGTTTGTTCTCAAACAGGCTGCAGGTTTCTGCCTCAGCTTATGAAATGCAGGGAATATCTGTTCTGTTATCTGCTGATCTTCAACCACAGCTGCCAGTCATGGTTCTTGGTTGGTTGGCAGCTTGTGTTTGCTCTGTCAACAGGATGCATGTCCCCAGGCCGTTCATCTGTCCCACCCCTGTCAGACATCAAACAAGACATCTTCCCTTCTTACATTCTGAGTTTTCTTACTTGGGATAAAAGTGGAATCTTTAAGCCAAAACCTGCAGAACAATAAYATCTGAACAGCAAAGATAAAGGGGGAGTCTTACCCAATGATGTAAGCCAGGACCCCCAGCTGGATGAGCCGGCACACCACTCCCACCCTCTTGTTCCTCACCAGCACCTGGCGGGGGGTCTCATACTCAAAGAAGAAGTCGGAGAGGGCGTTAGTGATCTGGCTCTTCATCTTCTTCCACCAGTTGACCCACGGAGGGGCAGGGTCTGTCGTGTCACCTCAATTTCATACAAAACACGAAGGAAACCTGCGAAAGTCTCTTCTTCCTCTTCTGGCTCTGCTCCTCACTCTGCCTCCTCCTCTGACGTCTGACACGCTTCATGAGAAGTCCTGAGGTGGAGGACTTCCTCCCTCCTGCTCTGCTCCCCTCCCTCTCTGAGCACAGGTCATGACTGCCTCCTCRCACAGCTGCGTTTGCACATCTTCCTTTTTTATTAACTGCATAAATCATTGAAAAGGACATTTGTTAGAATTTTGTTTCAACTTCTTTTTTTCTTTGAAGTTTGCATAACTCTACAGTTATTGCACCGGACCTCCTCCTTGCTCAGAGCAACCAAACCTTATCATCTTCCCCGACGTGCTTCTCTTCCTGCATGCGAGCCAGAGATAGACGGCAACACAAACACACACACACACGGTTTCAGCTTATTCGCCTGCTCTTATGTCACCATTCTCCAGACGTTAAGCCTTCTTATACTTTATCGTCACTTTGTGTGTCGGGGGGATGCAGGCACCGTCTCGTTCAGCGCTTCGTTTCACTCACATTCTTCTGCCCGGAGCTGCTTTGCTTTTCTAATCTTCTTTCACAGAGGAAGGAAARGAGGCAAAGATGCAATTATTCAAAAGTTGAAGCAGTGGGAATAAATGGAAGATGACAAAAAACTGGTCTCCGAAGAGAAAACTACTTTCCTCGTGCAGAATCTTTGTAATGTTGCAACATTTTGCATGTGACTCATTGCCTTTTATGCTGACAGTTTTAAACTGAGATCATCTTGTGTTGAAAATGGATGGCGTTAAAGACRTTTTAGTGACAACTTGTTACGAGCGATCTGATGGAATTTTGCAACATCTTCTGTTCGTTCTTGCAGGATGTGTCTCTACAGAACTCTGAGCTGCCACCATATCACGTTTCAGATTAGGATCTGTAAAACTAACGGTGTTAGAGCCATGTTTGTGTTGAGTAAGCTTGATTAGCTACAGTCTGGGTATGGGTTGACTCCAAAATGAGAATCAGCTGCAAATGTTCATCCAGTGATTACAGTGACAGTGATGGGACTGATTATATGTGATGCTACCTGAACAGGAATGCATGTTTCATTAAGTGTGAACCATCAAGAATAGATAAGTCTTGGCAGTGCTTGGCTCTAGCCATTTTGGTGCCGTAGGCGAGTTGAAG